TTAATAATAACAGTAATTTACTGTGAATTTACAACATAATGCAAATGACTACATCAATATTCTCCCACTTCATCCATTTATGGTTAATACAGCTTTTACTTATTTGTGCACATTAACTATATTTATTTAAAAAAAAACTTTCGTTAAAATGCCATCAGAATGCTTATAATATTAAGAGTGTCTCGGGGCCTCCTCTTCAGTGTCCACAACATTGGATCAGTCCTTTTGCTGCGCATCTGCAGAAAGGTCCAAACAGACAGACAGCAAACCATTTGAAAACAAATGGCGCGAAAAGAGCCGTGTCCCCAACTTATCGCTTTTTTACGCCATATTTAGTGACTTTTCAGACACCCCTAGCACTTTTATTTCAAAGAAATGCTTAGTAACACAACTAGCGACTTTTATCTGCTACTGGAGACTTGAGCGACAACATATAAAAGGGTCGAACTCTGCTCTCCTGAGTGAGTAGATTCGTAACCCCGCCTCCTGCTCTCCTCTTGTCTGCTGTCATGACTCATGCTGGGCAGGCTGCCTGCACATCGGCTGCAGGACAGAAAGACAGAGACCCTTTAGACTTTGAATCCAATAGCGGCATTTCTTGTCAACAGTGGCAAAGAGCCGGTAGGAGCAGAAAAGAGAAGCTATTGAGGAAAAAGTCTTTGAAAATATGAAACAAAAACATAGAATTAAATTGAAATGGGTGTGCCTCAGTTATGTAATAAAGTAGCAGGATTTACCCTTTGTTTCATTTGGTCATGAGACAAGGGATTTATTTATTATTATTTCTCAAGAGTGCTTAGTTTGGAAATGTGTTGATAGTCCCTAAAAGAACCACCTCCGGTAAGAAGAGTAACAGAGAACGGCTGGCTGAAGTCTGAGCTCCTGAATCGGATCGATGATGAGATGGGTGCCACTAACTCAGCAGAAGTTGAATATCCAGCTTCTAACTAACTTCCCCACGGCAATTCATGACAGATTCTGAAACTGTCTAAGAGTTCACAATGTTTTTGTTCTCCGCACGTCCCATACTGCTGAGTTCTTTCTATATTGTGGCATTTTGAAACAACTTTGTCAAGAAGAGCTAGCACCATTGCAGCCATACAAAATTCTGCAGGCAACTGTTAGGACACCTCAATGACAGCTCTAGGGGGATATATTATAATTGAGATATTACAAAATACTTTAAATGACAAATCAGATTACCTCATTTGAGATCTCATAGTTGCAGCTATGATACGTCAAGATTGGTCAAAAGAGGAGGAAGAGGAGCATTTTTTCAGTTAAGAAAGGAAACAAATATCTCATTTCTAATCTGTTGTTCTTATATTTAGAAGTTTGACCTGAAGCTTAAAATCACCTAAAGATGCATAATTTTAATCTGACACACTGTAACAATATAAGAAACATAACACCTTTAAGAATTGAAAAAAGGCAAACAAGCATCCCATACCAGGAACAGATAAATGAAGCTCCACTACTGGAATAAAAAAAAAAAAAAACGCTTTTTTTCACTGCTTCTCTGCGGGGGTTTAAAGCATGCCAAAACACTTTCCTGGGAAAACACAACATACTATAATGGGTTGAGACTTGTTAGTGTTTCACTTCCAATGAAACATAACTTTGCCTGGAGTGTAACAGTGAGAACTGGGACAGAAACCTACAATAGTGATATACATACTCACTTTTAAACAAATGTTTTATTCTTTACATTTCAGTTTTTAATGCCTTTCCCAATAACTATTTAGTTCATTGAAAACAAGGTATTGAACAAACCGGGCTTGATCTGAAACCTTTAAAACTGGTCATGTCACTCCTCTAAAAAAGCTGTAATAAAGCGTCAGATTAGAAAACAAAATAACAAGAGGAACGTTGACCATGGCTGGGTTTTTGGCTTTAAGGTGCAACTCTGGTGACCTTTTCTGATGCTCTATCGAAATCTCTTAACCATCAACAATAACACACCTCTTCACCCTGTTCTTCCTTAGTTTGATCAACCCTCAGCCTCTGCCAGTCTAATGTCACATGAAAGTATACTTACCAATACTAAACAATTAGCTAATCCAATGTGAACCACAAATGTTAAAATCTTTTAATGTTTTTACATTTTCAGAGGAAGTTGATGTTTTCAAGTGCTCCTTATTTCGGCAAAAGTGGAAGCAATTCAGAAGTTTCTGATGGATGTTTATAGTGGTGTCCACCTTGTGTAACCTCTCTGACTGTGCCAGATTGCTTTGCAGTGCTTTGAAACTAGGATCTCCTGCCTTCAACAAGCCCTTGAAGTAAGAGAAGGTTCTAGGTATGTCAGTCAGCCTGTGTCATACTTCCTAGTTAAGCGTTAACAGAATCAGTGAGCATAAAGGAGGGCTGTGCAATGCTTTTCGTCTTACAGCCACTTATAGTTAATGTTTCATGTTTTGTTTTAAAGTACAGACCTGTTTGTGGTTTACCCGCAACAGAAGTGGTCAGATCAGATAGTACAGAAAAAAAATTCTCTAGGGGACTATTGGGAGTTGTTTTTGGTGTTTGTGACAGGTTTACTCTTATGGGGTAGAATTTCTCATCCACTGACCTAAAGTTATCAACAAGATTTGTTTTTATTCTTCTTGTCTGCAGGCCAACAATCCCACATTGATGCACAGCTGGAATCCGTTCTGATGAACTGAATAAAAGCTGCATCTTCAGCCTTTTTGGTAGCCTGTTGATTGCCTGGTTAATGTGTATTAGGTGTCTGTTAATTCTCTCTGTGGATCTTTTTGCTTTTGTCAACTATTTTGATGAAGATATCTTGTTTTAGATGGGAAATTTGATCATTTTCTTTCAACTAGTTTTCCTCCTGTCTTGTGGCCATCCAGAGAGCTTTGGGAAAGTTATTAGATACAGGTGCTGGTCATAAAATTAGAATATCATGAAAAAGTAGATTGATTTCAGTAATTCCATTTAAAAAGTGAAACTTGTATATTATATTCATACATTACATACAAACTCATATATTTCAGATGTTTATTTTGATGATTACAAATGACAAATGAAAATCTCAAATTCATCATATCAGAAAATTAGAATATTACTGAAGACCAATAAAAACAAAGGATTTATAGAAATGTTGGCCAACTGAAAAGTATGAACATGAAAAGTATGAGCATGTACAGCACTCAGTAGTAGTTGGGCCTCCTTTGGCCTGTATTACTGCAGCAATGCGGCGTGGCATGGAGTCGATCAGTCTGTGGCACTGCTCAGGTGTTATGATAGCCCAGGTTGCTCTAATAGTGGCTTTTAGCTCTTCTGAATTGTTGGGTCTGGTGTATTGCATCTTCTTCTTCACAATACCCCATAGATTTTCTATGGGGTTAAGGTCAGGAGAGTTTGCTGGCCAATTAAGAACAGGGATACCATGGTCCTTCAACCAGGTACTGGTAGCTTTGGCAATGTGTGCAGGTGCCAAGTCCTGTTGGAAAATGAAATCTGCATCTCCAAAAAGTTGGTCAGCTGCAGGAAGCATGAAGTGCTCTAAAACTTCCTGGTATGTGGCTGCGTTGACCCTGGACCTCAGAAAACACAATGGACCAACACCAGCAGATGACATGGCACCCCAAACCATCACTGACTGTGGAAACTTTACACTGGACTTCAAGCAACGTGGATGAAGTGCCTCTCTTCTTTTCCTCCAGACTCTGGGACCTTGATTTCCAAAGGAAATGCAAAATTTACTTTCATCAGAGAACATGACTTTGGACCACTCACCAGCAGTCCAGTCCTGTTTCTCTTTAGCCCAGGCAAGACGCTTCTGACGCTGTCTGTGGTTCAAGAGTGGCTTGACACAAGGAATGCGACAGCAGAAACCCATGTCTTTCATACGTCTGTGTGTGGTGGTTCTTGAAGCACTCACTCCAGCTGCAGTCCACTCTTTGTGAATCTCCCCCACATTTTTGAATGGGTTTTGTTTCACAATCCTCTCCAGGGTGCGGTTATCTCTCTTGCTTGTACACTTTTTTCGACCACATCTTTTCCTTCCCTTCGCCTCTCTATTAATGTGCTTGGACACTGAGCTCTGTGAACAGCCAGCCTCTTTAGCGATGACCTTTTGTGTCTTGCCCTCCTTGTGCAAGGTGTCGATGGTCGTCTTTTGGACAACTGTCAAGTCAGCAGTCTTCCCCATGATTGTGTAGCCTATAGAACTAGACTGAAAGACCATTTAAAGGCTTTTGCAGGTGGTTTGAGTTAATTAGCTGATTAGAGTGTGACACCAGGGGCCATCAATTTTGAACCTTTTCACAATATTCTAATTTTCTGATATGATGAATTTGAGATTTTCATTTGTTGTCATTTGTAATCATCAAAATTAAACAAAATAAACATCTGAAATATATGAGTTTGTATGTAATGTATGAATATAATATACAAGTTTCACTTTTTAAATGGAATTACTGAAATCAATCTACTTTTTCATGATATTCTAATTTTATGACCAGCACCTGTATAGGATTAGCTTAGTTTTCAATCAGAAGGGAATGTTTTCTTAATGATATTTATTGGTTTCTTTCTGTTTGTTGGTAATTCACATGGGAAACCTTGGAACCTGTGAAAAACAACCTTCTTTAATCCTGAAATGTTTCCTAGACTTTAATTCTATGGAATGTAAAAACAAGTGTATTGAAGCTAAACTGAATTTAACCATTCTGTTTAATATCCCAGTGTCTTATTTAAAGGATGTAAGCTAATGACTAAAGATTCCCCTTCAGTTTTTACTGTCCCAACCACATATAACTGTACTTAAAGTTGCTCTGTTCTGATGTCAACCTTTATGTCTTGTTATATTATAGATTGAGCAAATTACCAAAGCGTTGGTTGTTCTTGACTTTAAGGTTCTTACACATTTGTTTTTAACCCTTATATTTCAGATCGAATCTGAACCAGATCTAGTATGATGTGTGTTACATGATAAAGTAAGGTTATCTTACCTTAAAATCTATAGAGTAAGTAGTGGGTAGGAAAATAACGCATATGTTTTATTGCATTTATTAGTCAAACAAATCAGGTCAAAACTATTACAATATGGTTCAAATATTTAAACAAAGCAGTAGTACAAGAGTGGGAAACCTTTCTGAATGCATTGAATATGTTAAATGTCCTTAACCCAATTTACAATTGGGTTTAAGTCTGAAGAAAATGAAATATTACTAATAGTGGAAGTTGAACATATCTATGAGGTTGTGCTGGGCTCACTTGTCATATAAAGTTTGCATATAATGAAGTTCATTACATACCAAAAAGTTAAAATTAGGTTAAGAATAAGAGGATAGAGCACAGCCATAGATTTATCAGCCAAACACTATCAGATGTCTGAGAAGGTTAAATTGTTTTCTCATGCGCATTACATTTTTAAAATCCAAAAATCATATTTTGGCACAATGTTAAGGTTCCTTCATCTCAATAAGAATAAAACCATACAGAATTGCTGTGAGGAATGCACAATTCTCTGATATTCTACAAACACACATGCACTGTAGTGTGTTTTGGATGCGCAGTGGTTGGCGTGCACAATCCATGACCAGAGGCATTAGTCCTCGATGGGCCGACACGGGTTCAAGTCCAACCTGTGGTCCTTTCCTGCATGTCCCCCCCCCCTTCTCTCTTTCCCCATTTCCTGTCAGCCTACTGTCAAAAAACAAGTCACTGGTGCTGCAAAAACTAAAAAAATAAATAACATATATGCACTGTATTAAGAATTCACACATTTTAAATTCTTTGGCACTTGACCTTTGAAAAGCAAGTGTTTGTGTGCAGCAGTCAAAATACATTATAGTTTAAAACCAAAACAAATTACACACTGGACCTCCCTGGGTTCATTTTAATAAGCGTTTCCAAAATAACTCAATGTATGATTCAATTTATTGACAAAGTTCCCTTTGCAAGAGCCTTAAAGTGAAGCATATATCTGCAAGTAAAACTTCTACATTCTCCTGTCTTAGTGAACAACCTTTTCTCTTCCTGTCAGCTAGCTAACTAACCTGATGGCAAGTCAGTATAAGTAAAGAGCTCTTCATCCAGGTAATTAAACCATCTTTGTGCTTTTTGTCTCATGCGAGGGATCTTTATAGCATATAAGTTCAAGCACTTGCAAACGAGTGGCTTCTTGCATTTCATTGTGTGCAAAATAGTGTCAAGTCTTTGCTACTTTTATGTGAAGCACAGATAATATAAGGCGAAATGAGTCACAAGGCAAAGGTGGAGAAAAGACCAATGTATCATACTGAATAATTGTTAACAATTGCAGCTGTAAATAGGAAATCTCCAACAGAAACCACCTCCACCAACATTAATGCCACCCTGAGCAATACTTTTAGTTCTCACGTTTCGCAAAGTGAAATGGCAAAATGGCACATCAGGACTGATAATAGAAACCTTTAAAAAAATGAACATTTTATAAAAGTACCTAGAATCACAGAAGTTGTCCTCAGTCACTTATTAAGTGAAGCTTCAATAAAGTGCAGAAACTAAAATGCAAGTTAATGTGTGTCAGCTTGGTCATTTGAAAGTTCAGACTCCCACTTTTACCAGTGGTCCAAATGCCAAAGTCAGGGTCTATTCTGTAGCTAGAACAGCACCCAGCAGGTGCATTCCTTTATCTTATGGCAAAGTCATCTAAGCTACCCTGTATTTTATTTAACAGTGTAATTAAAGTAAAAAAAAAAAAAAAACGCTTCATCACAAACATGACCCTAAATAAACAGGTCACGGTTGTGAAATAAAAAGATGGCCTGAAGCATTAAGGATCAGTTGTTGGCACTAAAAAGGAAGGCTGCATTAGTGGCACAGTCAAGGATTCTTCCCCTACACATCTGTGGAAGGCACGTGAGGATGAGGAACAAAATAAAAAGGTAGTGAAAATAAAATATAAAAACACAGAGATGCACCAGTCATTCACTAGAGATAGGAATCAGCCATCTGATAGGCTTAATCAGCTCTGATTGGTGATCCAGAGGTCAGGTTCCAAAATATTATGGCATTCAAAAAATACATAAAAACTTAAGATCCAGACTTGAATTGTGTGTGCGTGTGTTCTCCTGATAATGTTCATCACTTTAGGCTGCTATGTCACCGTGTCATTTTTATCTATTTACCAAGTGCCTGAAAACAATCCTGTAGCCAGATTACCTATAAAAATGTTCAGGCTATTGTTTTCAGTTTCAAGCATACTTCATGCTGAGTTGTGTCTACAGCCCAAACTAAATCATAGTATTATCTACAAAAAAAGTTCCCTTTTTAAAGACTTGCACTCATATTTCACAATAGAACTGTTTTCTTGTGGGGACTCCATTATATGATATCCGTTATGCGCCTGCCTACAAGTTTTACAGTGCGCAATAGTACTATATTGATAAATGCTGAATGAAATAACCTAAGATTAAGCCCAAGAGTTCTACACCTTAGTTAATCAAACCACCGTTTTGGGGGGATTTCCTTTTAAAATAAGCAAATCTGTCCTTAAGAAATCCGGATACTTATTTTACTCATTAAAAGCCTGACTGGTGCATCTCTACAAAAAATGAACTTATTTAAGTACAAATTTAGATGAATAACGTCATAGGAGGCACAGACTCAACATTCACCGAAATCACAACTTTTTCCATAAGATAGCAACCATTAGCTTGTCTTGTTTGCTGAAGATAAGCATACATACAGTGTGTCTGTCAGTGCAACTTGCTTTTAATTAATCTAATTTATGTCTTATCCCAATAAAAGTAAGCCATCTCATCCAGGTCGACAGGGTAGTCTGTGAGATACGTGGGACCTTTATACTTCCCTCTTTTGCTTTTCCAAGGGCCTGCTGGCAGGTAGATGTCCCTCTCTTGCTTTCCAGGCTCCAATACCGGAGCCACCAAAAGATCATCCCCAATCAGAAACTGGGAATCAATCTTAAAGGCTGCCTCGTCGTCTTTGGCGATCCACCACAGGGGCCTTATGATGGGATCTCCAGTATTAACAACCTCCCCTGCCAGCTTAAGAACCCTTGGAGCCACCTCACTTTCATGGATCTCTGAAAACTTCCGGGCAATCTGAACCACCTAGAGAGAAATGAATAGAGTTTTAGCAATTATCATTTTACCTGGAATTTATATTTAGCATGAAAGCAGGGAAATTCATTGGTGGCAGCCCCCCAGCTTATTATCTGTGTGAGAAGGAACAATTTTAGTTTGTTAGTGCTGGAAAAAAAAAAAGAGAACAAAAAGTGAAACACCAAGATACCTTAAACACTTTAGTGAACACTCAAAAGGTACACAGTACTCCAGCAACTCCTTTTTGCTTTAAAACAGTAAAAATAAAGTAAGAAACCCAGTGTGGGTTAAAATAGTGTTTAAACCTCTTTTGGTTTTTAGACTAAATGTCTTTTATCAAGAAAAAATGGCCCCCTCTAGTGGTCACATCGGACAATGCTATAAAAATTTAACATCTATTCCATGAGTAAAAATTAATTTGCAAAAATCTACCAAATGTTATCCAATATTTATTTATTTTTTTGGTATTTGAGAAAATAGGAAACAGGAAATATTTGTTGCTCTGATGTATTTCTCAATATTTTGCCACAAGCTCAAATTAATATATGGATTTCATATGACAGACCAACAAAAAGCAGAGGATAAGTGGAAGGAATCGTCTGGATGATTTTTTTCTACATCTTGTCTAAATATAAAAATCAGCAAACTTACATTTGTATTAAATCCTCTTTACTCTGACACTACTAAATAAGATCCAAATAAGAAACTAATTAGCAGATCAAGTCTACCTGTGTATTTTGGTTTTAAAACAATTATTCTGTAAAGGGGCTCAAGGATTTCTTAAAGGCGTTCAGTGAACACATGGCACACTAATGACAACAGAATATAGATAACAGGTCAAGGAGAAAGTTCTGTAGAAGTTTAAAGCATGCTAAGATTGTAAAACAATATCCAAATCGAAGAAGCTGCAAAAATATTCACATTTGTTAAGCGTTAATCTTTTTCTTAAATTACATGTTAACCATCTAATAAACCAAGAGCTAAGAGGCTTTTATCACTTTCGAAAAGCTGCAGAGATTTAAAAGTCCCATATTTAATGTACGGGGACATTACAGAGCAAACATGGAAGTACAATCCAGTGATCTAATGAGGCACAAACTTAATCTTTAAGACTGTATACAAGATGGGTGGTAGGAACACCGCACATTAGCCTGAACACAGCATCCATTTAAACATGGAGGTGGAAGCATCATGGACTCCAGTTACTATAGGAATTTGGTTTTAATGTACAAACTAAGTTAAATTACCTTTTCAAAGGACTGTTTAACTTTTAAAAAGGGTGTGGAAAAGTAAACAATAAAAATCTATGAGATCTAATTTTGCAAAATTTAAATCCATACCAGGCTCTATGAGCACAAAGGCATTATTTAAAAGGTCAGTGAAATGTTGCACATTGTCCCTGTTTGAAATAATAACTTAGCACCAAACACCACTGTATTCCCAGTGTGATCACCTTTCAGTTACTTGTCTTAATTTTATTCTCTAAACATAAACTAGTTACCAAACTAGCAGTTTCTGTTGATGTTGTTAATTTCATTTAGTAGAGAGATGATGTTTTGGGATTCCACAATTCAAATAATTATTTCTAACTTGGAATTATGCTTTTTTTCTGTAAATGCTCACCTCGTCATCATAAGCCCATGGTGGAATAGAGAACTGCATGGCAGGCATAAAAGCAGACAGCTCCAACCATCTGATGTACAGCTCTCTGTCTGGCAGCTCATTGGTTTCATTTATCTTGCCTAAAATGCAGCATAGTTAAGACAAAAACAGATAAAAACATGGTGAATTTTGGTACATGTGCTGGGGTCTCCTACCTGCAGTGCTGTTGGGGTAGGCATTCCCTCCAATCATATCTGGCAAGACAAACTGGTAGCCCAGAATACTGATAGTCAGAACAGTTGGGATGATGGACTTGAGACCAAGGTTATAACCCCAAACTGAATCCCTGTCAATGATCCTAAAGAAACAGGAGATGTTCTGACTCTGGTAGCCAACACGGAGCTCGGCACGCGAGCTGAAAGGTATGACCATCTCCGTGTAGCGCCGGGTGAAGGTGGAGGGGTCAGACAGAGGAACCAGCGTGCTAAACTGGCGAGGGAGGTAGCTTGTTTCTCCTGCATCAAACTTAAACGATGTCACATTATAACGACTTTTGAGCATATTCAGTTGTGACAAGAACCACCCACAGGCTTCTGGGTTCGTAAAATCCAAGATGCCACCAATACCATTCCACCAGCGGACGAGGGCAGGTAGCTCTCCACTTGGCTCTCGGACAAAAAGGCCTTTCTCCATAGCAACTCCAAAGTTAATGGAGTCATAGTTGATAAAAGGATGTGTCCACAGCGTGACTTGAAAGCCGTCCTTTCTGAGTTTTTCAAACATACCGCTAGCATTGGGGAACTTCTGGGGGTCAAAGTCAAACTCTCCATAGTCAGTGGTGTAGCGGTCATCCAGCTCCAGGTGGGCGCAGGCAAAGCCATGCTTGGTGATTTCTGATGCGTAGCTCAGAAACTTCTCCTGAGTTATAGCTGTCTTATGGAGGGCCCATGTGGACCACACCGGCTTTTCAAACACTTCAGAAGACGGGACTTTGAAAGGCTTTGGGAAGTATCGGCGCACCTGAGCAGAAACAATACAAAGCACATAGGACAGTTTATAGCAAGCAGATAAAATGCTGTTACATGCTGTTAACATCTGGCTAGAGCTTCATAGTAAAATGCAATTTACGTTTATTTCTTTTTGCTGATAATGCACACTTCATTTGTTAATAAATAATATCAAATATATTTATATCCGTCATAACTGATTACCTTTTTAAAAAAAACTTTATACCTGATGTAGGGCTGCAACTAACGATTATTTTAAAAATCGATGAATCGGACGATTATTTTTTCGATTAATCGGACAAAAAATATTTTTTATATTAACCTCTTTATTCCAAAATAAACATTTTAGACAGAACAAACAAACACACAAGTACAGGTTGCTCATTAACTGTACTGGTGCAATATGAAAAATAAATGTTTGTGTTAAAACTACGCAAACTTACATGAGAAATGTAGCTGTACATCCACAAAATATGGGGTACTTTGTTTCATAAAGCGCAAAAAAAGACATTTTTGTTTTTAAAGCCCCTAAGGGGTTCAAACAATAGGCCCCCCCATTTCAACAAATGAGTTTTTTTAGACTAGAAAAGTTCTGCCTTTTAAGACAGGAAAGTACAGCAGTTAGAGTTGCTACTTGAGAAAATACTGAACCATAGAGATAAAAATAGCCCTGTGATTCAAATTATAAATTGTATTTGGAATAAAAATGAGAGAACTAGGGGTGCTAAAAAACGCATCCTCCAAAGACTCCAATTTACATGGGAATGTGGCAGATAATTAATTTACATATTACTGATCTTGCTGGATTTTATTCTGCTTTACTGCCATAAATTGCAGGATCTTCTTTACTTTATCTTTGCCAGAAGATTTAAACTTTAAAAGCCTTGCCCTCTTAATTTGCAAGTTAATTTATTTATAAAGTAAATGTAAACGCTGCTTAAGCTAATTCAAATGAAATTAAAAGTGAAATAAGTAGCCAACCTTATCACTGTCTGTAACCTACTAACAAGGTAAGGAAAGCATCAGATGAGCTACCTGAGAAACTAACGTAACGTTTCCCCACTTTAAAACCAAACAAACATGGTGGTTCCGTGCCATGTTAATTTCTTTTGAAAAAAGTTGCATGTTATCACTTTTTTCGCTTTACAAAGCGCAGGCTATTTTAATTATTGTGATCAATTTGCGCCGTCCATCCCGGTGCATGCGCGCTTCATTTGCAGTCTGGACGCTGAGGCTCTGACTGCAGCGCTGAGAGGGACTCCTGCGGGAAAACGCGGTTTGGGGTGGGGGAGGCGCCCCACGGCAGAGTAGGAACGATACATGCTTTCACGTAAGAGTCTCTAAAAGCCGCCAGTGACACCGAAAAAAGTCGCCAGATTTATCGCTAGTCGCTTTTTTGAAAAATAGTCGCTGGAGGGGTCTGAAAAGTCGCTGAGTTGGCAACACTGCACCTGCGGCGCTGACTCGCTCTGCTATATTTTTTTTTCTTCCTCTTTCAGTCAAGAGGCAGTGATGACGGCGCGGTGGATGACGCAATAATCGCGCGACACAACTAATCGATGATGAAATTCGTTGCCAACGCTTTTAAAAGTCGATTTTTATCGATTTTATCGATTCGTTGTTGCAGCCCTAACCTGATGTATTCACTCACACGGAGAGGTAAACGGCTCATTCATTTAGCAGTGGTATCAGCCGATAAGCTGAGCTCAGGATTAGATAAAAACTGGATCTGAGCATCTCTATGAAAATAAACAACTGCTATCTACAAAATAAAGGTAGTAAATACAAAAATAAGACTAACATGCAAACATGGGAAATATGCAAAGGAACAATAGTGCAAAAGAGAAATGCTGCAATCATAAGCACCTTTCCCACTGAAATTAGAGGGTTAGCGGTTTTTCAAACACGGGCGACCCGCTAACAGTCGGCATTTTGGTCCCTCTCTGTTGCCAAAAAATAAGCTGAGTCTGATCCACTGCTGGCAAACTGCCTGGCTTCTGTTGTTTTGGATTGTTATATCAGACGCGACCACCGCAATGTTGTGACGTATGCTCGCTGTGCTCGACGGTTTCACATAAATTAGCAGGTCAACCTGGGTCTGATGTTCTCAACGTATGCTGATCAGAGCCGAGCCTTGCGAAAGCTATTTTAACCCAGGTCGCCCGCCGAGTCCTTTGACACGAGTCAGTGAGCCGTTCCCACTGCCACTAAAAGCCAATTGTTTGTGGCTTTAAACAGTTGTTTTGGCCATTGGGAAAGGGGTTATAGAAAACACAGAGCAGGACACTTCAAACACCTATGACTTTTACACGCCAACATCCTGCAAAGGAAAAATACTGCAAGCAGCAAATGCAGCTGCAATTTTAGAAAAGCTGCTACTGCTAAACTAGCTCTGCACAATGAAAGTGCCACAGACAACTAGGGGAAGTCGACCATCAACTCATACGATACCCAGAGGACATTTGGAGGAATGAAAGAAAAGCTTTTCTGTTGTGAGAATTTTTGATTAGAAAAAATCTCTTAATTAAAAGGTGTCAGCTGAATGGCCAATATGCTTCCAACATTTCAATGTATCAGCCTGATTGGAGCGTAGAAATGACAACTTTCAGGGTTTCAGCCTGCTAAGCTAGATCACTTATTTTGTTTATAAACTGTTTGGAATAAACTGAACTGACTGTTCTTTTCATGTATGCGAACACACTCACCATATACTTGTGAATGGAGGTAACATCCAGCCCCACACAGACTCTGTAGCTGAGCTCAGGGAAGTCCTGCTGTCCTGCCGGGGGTTTAAATGGGGAACCATGATATCGGGCCTCAAATCTTAGAGTCCTGTTCTTCTGCGACCAGCCCAAATGAAACGGGACTGAGTCATTAATCTTTATTGCAGTTGCATTGGAAGACAGCCAGTAACGTTCAAGGATTCCCCCAAACGCATTTCGATTGGAGTAAACGTCACTGGTGATGAAAGGCCGTGGTTCCTCTTCCCCTATGATTCTCAAAGGCCAGTACTGTTCTGCTGTCTCTGCTCCTCCGTACCAGTGAGAGTCGTTGTAGGCCATGGCATGTTCCACTGAGTGCAGACTCTGTAGCTCCTCCCAGCGAATGCGATAACACATCACTGTGTCCTTGTCTCGGACTGTCTCGATGAAAAAGTTCAGCTTGCCGGAGTTTGACCGAGTACAGCTCAGAATATTCCCCTCCTTTGTGCAGGAGTCCAGATCCAGAGTGCCAGACCTGGTACCATGTATGAACAGGGAGGATACACAACAGAGAGGGGAAAAGTTAGCAATGGACATTTATCTTTTGTATCTCTGCTTCTGTCTCCTTGAACCCCAGGAGACAGAAGCAGATGTCCGCTCTCACTGAGCCTGGTTATGTTGGAGGTTTCTTCCTGTTAAAAGGGAGTTTTTCCTCTCCACTGTTGCTACAAACATGCTTGGTATGAAGGGTTGCTTTTGATTCAAGGAATCGATGCAATCAGTTGGTTTTCCTTAGATAGAAAACTCTGAATAAATCTGACTGTATGATCTGGTTGAATTGTCTCTGTAAAGTGCCTTGAGATGACATGTTGTGAATTGCTGCTATATAAATAAACACAATTGAACTGAATTAAGTAAATCATGTTTGTTCAGGTAAAATAATAACTAGCTGGAAGAGAACAAAGCTGCAGCTGTATGCTATTTTTGTCGAAATGACCTCTGCTAATAATGACCATGACTAAATCGGTCTCCCCTCAGGGTGCAGTCATGTGTCTGCCTCCTCTGGTTTTCCCATCTATAACCCACAAACTGCACACAGGCAGCCTCTAAGCATAAGCTCTTAAAAAATGGACTAACAATGCAAAAGCCAACACAACTAGACACTCAACAAAATGTAGAACGAAAACACAGTTATCTTATAACAGCAATATCTAATCCTGTTTCTATACCAAGTCCATGGAAGTTTCCCTTTCCATTTTTTATTCAGGGCATAACCTATCTGAAATATAAAATAAAAACTTCAAATGCCATCTCAAGGTACTTTACAGGAACACAACAAGTTATCATTTTATAGCCTAAATCTAATCAAGCCCATCCTGATGAAATCAATAAATTTAGTTCATCACAAACAAACAAACAAACTCCTCAGCAACAAGAGTCACAGTAGTTTGTCTGTTTATCTTCCCTACATGCGTTTTGAGCTCCAAGTCTTTGACTCACCAGTTTTTTTCCTTAGGCTGATTTGGACAAACACCAACGACTACTGAATCAACAAAACGTTTGGAGATGTTCAGATCCAATCATCAAGCCATAAAATTCTGCTCCTGAAAAACCCATTTAAATCTTCACACCTGCCAATATGTCACTGTTTTTAACTGTTTACCTTTAAAGAGAACATTTTAATTTGCCGTCTCATATATCCCACTTAATGGGTGCCTTGAGAGCAAATAATCAGGAGCAAGTCATGACTCTTTCTGTGTTCAGAGTAGAATGTCTTATATGTTTATATCCTTTGATTGGGATCAAAATTAAAATTACAATTTAAAAAAAACTTAGCAATTACACATTTTTAAAAGTTTGACTTGAGAAAGGCCAGTTGACTGAATCTCATTCTCTCTTTCTTGAAATGCAAGGAGTACTTGACTTGAAAATATTCCTCTGATTTAAGAATAGAGAATAAAACCTATACTAAAATGTATTAGAAACTATTATACCCTATAATGGTTTAATGGAGATACTACATCTCAGATAAGAACTACATTAAAGTACAAACATTTTCCTTATACCAAAACATTTTATTTATATCCCAATTATTAATAGTTTGGGCTATTTATACCATTTCTATATTCAATACAGTTTTTTTTTTTATTCCATGCCAATTAAAAACACATCTTCTCTTGTGACTTTACAAAATCACATCATATTCAGGTTGTTTAAAGTGTTTTCTATCAAAGGAAACACATCAGACTGCATTCTTAGGTGTTCTTTATTTTGTCTCTTTCACGTTTTTTATTCTAGAATCTTAGTAGCTCATCTTTTTTTTCCTACATCTCACCCTATTTCTCACAATTTCACTTAAGATTTTCAATTTATATACAAAACCTGTTGTATCATACATTTAAATCCCTATAGTTTGGACTCTTTCTATGCCATTTGAATAGAGAAAGATGAAAACAAAAATCTGTTGAATGATAAATCCATTTTCCACAGAAAGCTCACCTGAAAGTCATGGTGAAGATGACAGCCCCAATATGGTTCCGTATGATGTAGCCATCTTTTTTCAGGTCCAGCGACTCAGTCTTCAGTAACTGGGCTTTAAGAACAGACACCGAATAGTGGCACCAAGCGATCACAGCAGCCAGAACCAACACACAGCCTAGCAAACCGGCCATCACCATCCGCCGTCCCTCAGGTCCAAGTTTCTTTTTGTGTGGGGAACCGCGTGTTCCATCAGTCACCATCTGCTCTCCAGGATCTCCTGGGACAATCCGATACATACTGAAATACTTGTTGAAAGGCGTGAAGAACAACGACTGTTGGTGCTTCTTGATGATCTTGACTGCCGCAGAGGAGCAGCAAATAATTCTTACGGTCTACCTGCAAATTTCTAATATCTTCATTTCTGAATAAGGATCAAGTTGTCCAAACCTGTGAAATAGGAGATGACAAACATCAGCTGAAGGATGGCTCGATGTCCAACGAAAAGGGGAAAGAATAAAACATGGGAGCAGAAACGTCTCAAGCTGTATTCTAGTCTGTTTACCAACCCTCTGCTAGAATTACTCACTGTAATGTTACACATTGGTTTTCAGAGTGTCCAGCCACATATCTAATTAACGTCCAGCAGATAGTGTAATCTGATAAACAGCAGGTAGGCAGGTTCAATGTCCGTATAGAGTCACACAAGTACTAGAACTAACACAGCTGATAAAAGCTTAACGACAGGCTATGATCAGAGCGAAAGGTGCAGACACCAAGTAAGCATGGTACAGTTACATTTATTGCCAAACCACGGTAAATAATATTTAGGATCAGCGCCCCTCTAATAACAGCACAGCAGCAAGCATGTAGTTCTCGGTGATCTACTGGTCTGACAAACCTTTTAAACGTCACTTAGACAAGGAAAAACAATGATTATGTTACTACTTGGTTTTCTTCTATTATTCTAGTCATTTAATGGAAATGTGGCAAATTGTGAAGAAATTTGGCTTAAATTATTTGCATTAAACCTTCAGAGAAAGGTTGATTATTCAACATTTTCTTCATGCACTATTTCAGAGTTTCAATTTCAACCTTTGCCTTACAAAAATATTTGAACCACTTAAATGTCCCTCATTTTGTAAAATGGACTCAAATAGGCTTGTCCCGATCCGATCCACGTATCGGATAGGGACGCCGATATTGGCAAAAAAATGCGTATCGGCAAAGCATGTAAAATGCCGATCCAGACTGCCGATCCAGTTTTTTAAAAAAATCTGGTCCGTATTTTCCAGTTTCGCCGATTGAAACGATCCATTCCACTATTTTGCGCCAGTGTTCCCCTGTTTTGCATTTTTATTAAAACTTACAGTAATACTTACACCTTTAACTGTTTACGGTTTTACTGCTCACTGTGCAATTTCAGATTGCTATTCGTAATTTTGTCCAGTTTGTGTTTATCTCTTAATAAACAGGTAAGTTTGTTGTTACCAATCATTGTGTTTTATTCAATCTCACCTAATTTAGCTGGCTAGATGTTATCAAGAGTACTAAAACCCTTTTCAACATGAGTCTTACAACTAAGGCTAAATACTTTAACTTAAACTTAAATACATGCTCGGATAGGCTGGTATCGGCCAGTATCGGTATCGGATCGGAAGTCCAAAAACAAAATCGGTATCGGATCGGAAGTGCAAAAACCTGGATCGGGACATCTCTAGACTCAAACTTCAAGAAATTTAGTTTGGGACCAGCACAAAGCAGAGGATTACTGTGAAATAAAATAAAATAAATAAATAAAAATAAATCAAATTTCTACTAATACAAATCTATATAAAAAGCATGCTTATGTATTTATCTCTCTACTTTGACAACACTAAGTCAACTTCAGACAAACAAATTATCTTAGAATCAATAAGGTAGGTTTTATTTTATCACCATGTAAATATAGCTAATCAATGAATGCCATTTGGGGTTTGCTAGATACCATTTATAAAGTTTTATAAATTAACTAAAATAAAAAAATACAATATGTCAACCCTTAAACACAAAACATCTGCAAACCTAAGAAACTTTTTGCAGCTGTAGTAAACTGACCAGGCAGGCAAAATACAACATTTCCTATTGTGGTTTGCTCCAACCAACTGTCACTAATACTGTGGGCAGTTCCACTGTAAATGTCTTTCAAGTAATATTTTTCACAAAGCTGGAGAAAACATATGTTCACTAAGTAGTTGGAGTTCCCACAGTCCATGACTGCAGCATGGATCAGGACATCTCTCCAGAAATGCTGCAAGCTGCTAATCACATTTCCCCGTCCAATCCCGTCAGATTGGGGTAAAAATCTGAATGTGGAAAAAATCCTGAAACTGAAAAAGCTATTTGAAACTAAAAAAGAAAAAATAGAAAGAAAGGGATTTTAATCTTAACATAAAATCTAAAACTGCCATAAAGAAAAGAAATAAAAAGGGGGAAAAAAAAGAGTAATTAAAATACTAAACTGAATTATGAGTATTTTCAAACTGAATGGAAGAATTTAGACTAGATTCAGTTATTATTTTCTGTTTGCTTTTTTAGTTTCTCATATTATAAGGTAAACATTTGATATTCAATATCACCTTATATATTTTTTCATTTTTAAATAAGATTTACAAACATTTTGACCCCTTTCTGACTCCATAGATTTGGATCACAGCTTGAATGTTAAACAATCCAAATCCAAACCCAGTTTCTAAATAAAACCAAACACGTTATATGGGTAGGGAAACTTTATCAATTTCCTCTCTACAGCTTACTGAGGATGTGTTTGTTGTTGAAGGTTCCTCGTTTTGCAACAACAGACAACTTATGACACACAAAACCTGTTTTAAAATATTCTCCTCCTGATTAACACAACCAAACATGTATATTTCCAAAAGTGACATCGTGTTTATGAACAAATAAACAAGTGTAATTCAACTTTAGTGAACGTGAGTTTCCCTAGAAGACGTTAAGCGATGTTTACTGTCACAATTTGGCATTAAAGCTCGCTTCATTTACAACCTGTCGTGACAGCTATCTGTACGGTTCAATTGCAGATTAATGTTGTTAAAATTAAAAACATGTACAGGAAGATATAGCCGTCGTGTCTCTGCTTACTTCAACAGCTTTATAAACAGATATTTACCTTATGTGTGCAGTTGAGTTACCGAGGTCACTTTGCGTACTGCACCGCCGAGATGTGGACAAACGTCTCTGGTCGTACTGCGCATGCGCCACTGTTTAAACCTCTCTCACCTACGTCTAGATTGGTCCTGAAAGCCGTCACTCAAATAGCCCCACCAGAGAGACTTCTGGGAACTGTAGTATAAGGAAAGCTTTGCTTCTAACGTGGAAACGTCTGTGTTTTTGTGAGTTTTTTTCTTCCTAAATCACACAGTAAACATATTTAGATCTTTATTGCTGATAAACGAACGAATAACACCAGAGTTCACATTAGGGCCTACCCCAAACAAGAAAACATATAAGTTACTTTTAAACCTAGCATACAACCGTTGCCATTGGAAACAAACAAAAAAGACAATACACCTGTTTTCTTTTGGCAATAAAAGTGTATTGTCTGGCAAGATTAACACGAATATATATCATAAAATCTAATAGTACACATATATTGTTATTCTTAATCACTGTTTTAAACTTTTCACGCTGTGTTGTCCATTTTTGTGCGCAGAAAGCGGACGCCATTTGTTCCAGTTTATGCCAGTATCACACCTAACCTACAGTATAAAAGGTAAGAGCAGGTAGACAAAGCAATATGTGTGAACATGTTTCACTTTCTGCCACTGGGTGGCAGCAACAAGCCATGTACAGACTGTTTTATCCCACTAGCTCATGCCAAGCTTAAATATAGGATATAATTTTCAGCAGTAGTACAGTGAATTTTGAATATATTTTATAACATTAAAATAGGGATCTTGGTGTTCTTTTTTTCCAGGGCTTTTCTTGACAAACAAACAGAAGAACTGAAAAGTGTGGTATTTTATCTCTTTAGCTCCCTGAGCCTTTATGTGGTGGGTAGATTTTTATCAGGGTCATCTAATACAGCCACAATCTTTTTAGGAAATGTACAATCTTTGTATGCTTTGAGAAATATTTTTGGTTTTTTGATACGCCTTAGTTTTAATCTAGAGTCTCTATCAACATATATTTTTTTCAAGTCATGCCCTAAAGTTTCATTAATCTTCCAAGGTTGTGATCTTACCATTGTAGCCCCCATGATTCTGTCACCACCATGCTTGACTGTGAGGATGTAAGTTCATGATTTGTTAAGAGCTTTTGCAGCTAATGTTCTCCTTGTTTATCCAGTCAAATCACACCAATTATCTCATATTGTATGTGTGTTAGTGCCATATCATTTTCATTTTAATATGACTGAATGGTGCTCTATGGGATGTTCAATTCCAAGAGTGTTGTATCAACTTTATTCTGACTGCTGCAGATGGAGTTATATCAAAATGAAATTACTCTAAGATGGAGCTCATTTTATAAGGATTACATGAGGAGGAAATAGAGGGCTAAATTAAAATGAATAGCATACTTCTGAGATTTTTATTTGCACAAAAAAAACCCATGTTGGTGTCTCTATTTTGCCACCATCCAAGCAGCAGTAGCAGCAGCAGCATAAAGGATAGACATTCACACATGTGATTAATTAAGTTAATTAGGCTATATTGATGATTTTCATAACATTGAGGGAATATTATTGTATGAGCCAATAAAGGCTGAAATTATTTTAATGACTTAAAGAATATCAGATGTAACTAATGAACAGCAGTCAACAGACTTGTTTTGAAAAGATGGCGGATATAAGGATACAGGAAACTAACTAACTTTTAAGTCATAAGACAAACAAAAGGAAAATCAACTTGTTTCATTAGTATTTTGCTTAATAAAGTATTCTAGTAGCAAATAGAGATACAGTTTGAGTCAGTCTTTCTGTTGCTTGGAATTCTAGTTTTTACTGGGTTTTTCATTACTACTGTGTCCAGATTATGTATAATTATATCACCCTAAAGAATACAATTCAAATAGGCTTATTGAAGAAAACACACCATCTCGGTAACATTCATACCTGTGATAAACCCATCTTAGCAGTGCTTTATCTTAAGGAATGTTATTTGATAATTCTGCTTTAAAATATTCAGATCACACAAACACAAAGGTTGTGGAGCTTCCGAGAGCTGCAGGAAGATGCTGTGGATTCTGGTGGCCCTGATCTCCTGCATCTGTGCAGCTCAGGCCTGTCTGCAGTGCGACCGCGCCATCAGGAACATGCATGACGACTTCATCTTGTCTGCTCCTACAGTGAATGAGCAAATTGAGTTACAAACAATTTGTGACCACGCCTATGAGACATACAGAGAGACAAGCCGGAATCGAAAGGGGGTCATTGGTGAGACCATAAACCCCGTATCGGAATAATTGTTTTTACTTCGGGGTCTTACATCTCACCAAAATGCTTCTTTTTTTTGTTTTGTTTGCTAAATGCATAGATCCAACCACATTGTACAGAGCCAAAACTGAATACCAAAGTGAATTTGATCGCTTTTTGAAAACAGAACCCACTGGTAAGAAAAAAAAAAGATGATGTGGAAAAACTTACTTGAAACTATTTTCCAACTCTTTATGATTTCACAACAAAGAGGTTATTTAAAATACTACTATCATCTTTGCTTGACATCTAACAGCAGTGTATCCTGTTTCTATATTTAAGGGTCTCTAACATTTGAAACCATTCAGATCATGGAGAAAGGCAGGAAAATCTTAGAGAAGCACTTGGACGCTTTTATCCCTGATGGTAATCAACCTAAATAATAGTGAGGCAAAGCACTCTATGCAAGTTTCTACTGTTAGTTTCATTTCATCTCTCTGTTTTCTGTTTCCATGAAGGACTTTGCCCCAACAAGTGCGGTGAGTTTGATCGCTGATCCCACCAACGATGCTGCTTCTGGTTGTGCAAACCATGTTGAGTTGGTACATGTTTGCTGAACACATGTACATACGTGTGTGTTTTTGTGAATTACAGGAGTTCTCTGTAGAAGAGTGATGGACTGTATCTCTTGCAAATACAAAATCTACACTTGTCCATCTCTGTCAGACCAGCTGGACTGTGGCGGTATTTTCTATTTCTTTCTTGTAGTGTTGTATTTATATGTTGTTCGTCATTTGATGAGTAGATGAGGGGTTGGCCTGCCTATGTAGAGGGACTGCATCATTCTTCGGAGTATATTAAAGCATGTGGAATGTGTTCTAAAGCATAATGCCTCAGCATGGCCATGTGCAGTGCTAATTAAAAAGATTATAGATATAATCCAGAAGCAAATACATTACAAATCTCTTGTTCTATCTCCTTTCCAGTGTACCCATTGCAGGGGGATGAGGGAGGCCAGGCTGTGTTGGACTGTTTCCTTCCATGGCATCGATTCCTATTGGGAAAACCAGAGTACTACTACTCCTGGGCTCCTGGAGAACCGGGGAACAAAACGGTCACACAGCTGAAACATATTTACTAATATCCTAATTTAACATGTATATTATATTATATAATATATATTTATTATATATTATATTATTTATATTTAGATAAAATAAATGAGAATACTATAGAAAAGTTTATATATTTTAAACAAAATTCACTAAGTGAAACAATTTAAAGCTGAATTACAAACGGAGGGATATTTTAAAGCATGTTTTCTGTGGATTATATTTATATAATATATACCCATAATTAAAACACAACATCTAGGATTAGAGTATTACATTTGACCAATAGCAAGCAATTTTTAAAAAAAGAAATGCAGCTTTTATTATTTTTATATGGACATTTTTTAGTACCTGCTTAAAGGTTGATGATTATAAATAGTCCCTTTATCCAGTCGAAGCACATATTTTGCTTAATTTAGATATGACTGTACTTTAACTTTACTTTCAATTTCCTTTCCACATTGCTCCACCTAAATGTTATTCAGACGTTAAAACATTGGGTGGAGTTTTAAGGTGCAGCATTAGGCTGGTTTTGCTCATACCAGCAGGACACAAGTTTCTCTGTCCATACAGAAAAAATATATATTTTTTAGCATCTCCTTCCTTTGGAGTTTATTAAAGTTCAGTTCTTGTCCTTTTCCCTTAATTATTGTATCCTCTCCCTTTATGATTAATTCTGAGAAACATTTGCATTTACGTCTTCACAAATGGCTGTCAGAATTATCTCACCACACAGCCAATTGTTTAGAAATTCCTGTAAAGTAATTAAAAACATGGATGGTTATTACTTTTTTAAAAGCTTTATTAAGAAGAAAAAATGGCATTTTATATAGTCATACACCAGTCACCCAAACCTTTGTGAGCTGGAACCATATTTTGAGCAATAGGTCGCAGATCTTTGTGTAACCAGGTATTCAGGATTAAAGTGCAACAACCAGGTCAGCAGTATTTTGTAGGCACTATGATGAGCTTTCCAGCTTCTGTTGGTAGTACAGCATTTTTTTTTAAATTGTTTTTGAAATGTACCTTATCAATAAATTGTATTTGGATGTCCTGTTTTGTCACACATTTAGCTGTTGTGTGTTAGCTTGCATGCACATTTTTCCTGCCTGCTATCTGCCTCTACTCCTTATTTATCACTTCCAAATGTGTACATATAGCTGACGGAAAAGGACTTCAAGACCTTAGTGGTGACACACGACTCGTCTGTGGTCCTGAATCAGCTGCACTTGGAGGAGCAAGGAACATATCGCTGCTCTCTGCAAGACCAAATTGGAACCATCTTCTATAGAGTCACATTTCTACTCACAGGTGAAGTCGAGATTCAGACATGTCATCACAAGTAAGGCAAACAGTTGACGCAATCTAGAGCACTGTATTTGCAAAGCTGCCACTGTAGAATCAGATCCCTTTTATAGATGGAAATTCTTACCCGGACACTCATCATCAAAATATGGTGTCGATTTTTCAATTCTCCTACTAACAAATTATCTTCCTCCCACTATCACTCGTTACAAAACTCTTAATTCCAGTGACTTAGCTATCTCTATCTATCTATATCTATCTATAGCTATCTATATTTATTTTAAATGTAAATGAATTATTTATTGTGATAGAATAACTTAATACTAAATGACATTTATTCAAGAAAAAAAAACAGTTTTCTTTAGAAAATATATTTTATAGCTATCTACCTAATCTCTTTTCATAAATTAAATCATTTTTGGCTTAAATAATCATGTATTGATCCACAGAACATATTCTGCAGAGGAACAACGGAGAGCAAAGCTATGATATTTCTCTGGCTGTACATTCAGAAATACCTGCTTTCTTTTTAGTGGGGTTGGGGTCCACATTGAAAAGAAATGTTTGATTAATTTTCTGGTCCAATATATTGAACTTCAGCATTTTCATTCATATTTTGCTTTTAAAAGTCTTGCAACTCTCTTCACCATAGTTTTAAAGCTTGCTTATCTAACGCATAACTTAAATATCCTTGCATTCAAGACAAGATAAGAACATTTATTTTTCTTTTTTAATAAGTGTAATGTAAAACCTTTTATCAGTTACCCTTTCAAAACAGTTAAAATAAAAGCTTTATCAGTTGAGGGATTACCATGTCAAAAATTAGCTTTCGAGAATAACAGAAGTTTGTTTACTGCCTGATGTAAACAGACAGACAGACAGTTTTGTCAACAAAACTGCATCAAAATCGCTGATAGTAACTTAAAAAGAAATACATCTTTCTTTAATTCTAAGTGGACCATTTAACAATTAATCTTTAGCTTTACAAAGTTTCATTGTAACCATTACCATGAAGCTATATTATATGTTCTAGTTTCTTTGTGATTTTTTGCACAAAGTGAGAACTTTCTATTCAGTGTATGCCTTGTTTTACTAAATATAGTTTTTTTTTTTTTTTTTAAAGGAAATTTCTCTCTCGCCAGTCTACCATTTTCACAGCAAACATGTGCGTTTGCCTCCGTTCTACCAAACTCTTGACTCTACCAAACACCGCAGAAGATGGCTTTTCATATCGAGTCCATTCTGTTGGAGGTTTTGTCCTTTTAAAAGGGAGTTTTCCCTTTCACTGTCACTGCATGCATGCTCGGTATAAGGGATTGTAAAGTCAACAACACAATGCAAGTGACTGACGACTGTTACCACATGCTCATCCAGGTGGAGTGAATTCTTCAAAGTCAATAATCTGCTGGGCTTCCCTTAATTTAAAACAATTAACCTGCCTGTCTGTATGATTACAATAACCTTTCTCTGTAAAGCAGCTTGAAATTTCATAGATGAAATGGAACCATAAAAATAAACTGAATTTAATCTAATTCTTTTACATGTTTTGCCTTTTCCATACTCCAAAAAGGTCTGACCAGTACTTTTTAGATCTCCTACAAAAACTGCCACTGACTCAGCAAAAATACCCTGAACTAGTGAAGAAAACCCCCATTACCTTTAAAGCAAAATATGACTGTCATGGTCAAAATGCCAGCAGGGACGCCTGCTTATATATATACTTCAATGGTTGGGGTATTTCCACCAGGGAAACATGATACCTGTGTTAGAACAAATACAACCTATTGACTTCGCTGTAATTTCTGACTGGCTCATTTATTTTTCAACATATGATTAAACTTCTCCATACTACTCATAAACTATTGTTTAATAAAGAGGCATCTGTGACAGCATTTGTAGTGATAAAAAAATAAAAAATACAAAAAATTATTCTACTGTTTTATTTCTGATATTATTTAGACTCTGATATTATTTAGACTCTGAAACCTTCTCTTTCAACCTGAACAGTTCGGCAGTTTGCTACGGCTCAATAACAAACACAGGATGTGACACTTTGAGGTTAGCTGTCGCATACTAAGTTATGAGACAAATATCCTTCCTATCCTTCCTTTCTTTTATTTGATTAATTTTTGAAAGTCAGAAGTAAAGATGATTTTGGTAAATTGTGTATGTGTTAATATGTACAGTTAAGCCCCAACTTACTAAACTATGATATGAGACAACAAAGTAATGTAAAATGAGTTAATAAAAAAGGTGTTTATTTACTCTCTTATATGAAAAGTAGAAAATAATTTCAACACCTCAATATTTCATGAATGATCTTTCATGAAATTTCAGAAGTCAAACCCTTTGTAAATTTAATGGTCAGTTTTCCACCATTATTTTTAACTAATTATCTCTTATAATGAGGCCTAAGTGTTTAAGGTTAGAATACCTTTTGGCCATCACCCCAATCTGTAGCTCCCTCTGCAAATCAGATTCTAGTCTAACTGGGCACTCTAAAATGTGAATATTACTTCAAGACATTGAAAAAATTTTGATTTAAACCTAAATCAGGCAGGAGTATGATAAAAATGTAAAGCTCTGATGGGATGGGGCTAATTAGTGTGTTAATTTACATGCCAAGGTATCCTGAATGTATTGGTTTTCTGTTGTGTTCTGCATTGCTCACATACCTTTACCAACACATTTAATTCCTTAAAAGGTGTAAGGTGTTTACCAGTATGTCTGCTTAATGACTTTGATTTTAAGATTGATGCACTGTGTTTAAAATAAACCTCTGCCTTCACAGTTGCCCCCTTGCCTCTTCAGACCCACCAAGCTTTCGTCACTCTGCCCTCACTGGCTCATGGAGACTACTCACCTTTTCAACCTACAGAGAACCTGCTTGTGGCTGTCATCTCCTTGGTTACAGCGCTGAGTCTGGCAGCCAGCGTAGGCCTCACAGTTGTCCTGGGGTGAGAGACTGCATGTGGGTGGAAGCGGGGGATGGGTTTCACAGGAAAAGAGGGGGTGAAAAGAGATAAAATGAAGCAAAGTGAATGACAGGTTAAATCATCAATGTAGAAGTAGAGCCAGCTGGGATGTTAGGTGGTTTAACTACAAAATCTCAGTTTATTATTCTGAGTCAAGATAGCTAATCTGAGTGAGACAAAAAAAAGGTCTACCTTTTTTTAAATTTGAATAAATTGTTACTTCTTTCAGAAAGTGATGCCAGTTATGCTAATATAAAAAAATCAAAAGTTCTTCATTTTGGTTTTAAATCGTGTGTTTTTTTTTTTTTGTTTTTTTTTTGTTGTTCTTGTAGGATGATGATGAATCGAGAGAGAAAAGCCAAAGGTTTGAGGAAGTCCAAGGAAGAAGTGTGCACAGTGTGATAAATAAAGTAATCACACTCTCAAATGGTGGAAGAGGTTTTCTCACTTCCGTTTGTAGGTGTCTCTCCACAGTCAAATACATTTCCCAGCATGAAGTGTTAAGTCATGTCCAGAAAGTGAGAAAAGGTATTGAAATACAATGTGTCATTCAAGAGTTATAGGATCTGGTTTGTTTGTTTTTAATTAGCTGAGATCTCATAAGACATGAAGTTGGTGGAGATACAACAGAAATCACTTAGTTGATTTTTGATTATTATGTAATTTGACGCATCTGTACCCATGTTTCTGCCAAAATAAAAACAAGATTTGATTTATTCATTCAATGAGTTAAGATAAACTTCTGACAGCATGGTGATCCCCCCCCAGCCCCACCAACCCCCCACACAGATGAGTCAAAGCTGTGGCCACATGGGCATCTAAGATTTGAATCAGGGATAAAATAAATCTCCTGGATTACAGTGTTTTTTTTTGTTTTTTTTTCAGATTAAAACCCCAACCACGCAATAATCCTAGCTAATCCCTCCAAAGGGAAAAATGAGATAAAAGCAAGCAGCGGATGTTGCCATCAGAGGTTCTATTGATATTTGTTTTTTACTGATTCATTCATTCAGAGAGAAAAGCAAGTAATGTTCCTGTCACTATGAAGCATGTTCTAATATTCAGTCATGACTTTTGCTGATTAAGAAGTAACGTATCTAATCATCTTGGCTGCATTTATAATGTTTTATATTTTCTTGGAGTGTACGTTAGTGAGTTAATTTGCTTCTGTTAAGTCATTGTCAAGTCACACATCCTATAAGATTACAGTAAACCCACTCTGACTTCCAACAACCAATTAATACCAGTCTTGCAATATTATGCCACGGGGAAGATGATGAAATATTTAAAACTGAAAATGAAAATGACTGATATTGGATGAGTAACCAGAGCCAGGAAATCACCTATGAAATTACAAACACTGAGAAAGGATTGTAGGGAAATTTCTAGCAAAGCCTTGAATTATGAGTAGGTAGTTTGGCTTATGAGCTACGATTAAAGGAGTTTTGACAATACAGTGAGGGGGTGTGTGGAAGTTGAGGTTTGCATCAGTGTTGACAGGATGTACATCTGCTGCTGCTGCTCTTTCCTTTGAGGTCTGCAGACATGGGGGAGAGGGCTGTGAAAAAAAAAAGAAAACACTTTTAAACACACCCACATACACAGGCTCTCACGTCACATTCTTCCAGCATAGCAGTCGTCTACATCTCACAGGTCTTACTCTAGTGTGTTGAAAGGAACAGTACAGACTGAGGCAACAATAAGTGCACTCTCAGCTGCTCTCCTGACAGCCATGATAAAGTGTGTAGTAAAATGTGTAAAAATGTGTGTGTAGACTGCAGTGGATTGAAAGTGCAGCCTCAGCAGGGAGAAGGGATGACAAAGTGGTCGTTCTACAGAAGGAGAAACAGGCAGCGGTGAGAGAAAGGGAAGTGGGAACATGAAGAAAGTTGGAGCCAAAGGTCTGAGTGGGAGAGAATCTTGTGGGAAGGTAGAGTAATTTCAGTGTGGGCTATGTGGAAATGAGAAAAAAGATGTCAGATTACAACCTATCATGTGAGCAACCCAACAGTAAACATAAAGATACCATACTCACATGGACGGAAAGACATCTGCATAGACTCTTTTAAAAAAAAAGGAGTTCCTTTTTACTCATGTTGGTTTGAAACACTTTGTATTAAACATGTTTTACTCAGCACCAATTCATCAAGAGTCATCTCAGGACACTGTACGAACAGCCACATCAGTCCATTTACATCACTACATCACGTCCTATTTAATACACTGTACAAAAGAACCCTCAAGCTCCCAGGGAGACTACCCGCGGTGGGTGAGGAAGTTTTTTATATATATATATATATATATATATATATATATATATATATATATATATATATATACAAAAACTCTTACTCACCGCCCATATGGGCGGTCTCCCTTTTTTTCCTCCAAGCTTGGGTCCTCAACCAGAGGCCTGGGAGCTTGAGGGTTCTGCCCAGTATCTTTGCTGTTCCTGGAACTGCACTCTTCTGGACCGAGATGTCTGATGTATTTCCAGGGATTTGCTGTAACCTCTCTTCAAGTTTAGGGGTCACTGCCCTGAGTGCCGCAATGACCAAGTATACCACTGATGGCTTGACCTTCTCCAGCTCTGGAGAAGCTGGAGAGTTTTTTTTGTTGTTTTTTTTCTCTAGCTCTTCTCTGAGACCCTGTGTCTTCCAACATGACAATGAACAGAAGCACACAGCTAGGATAACCAAGGAGTGGCTGTGGAAGAAGTATATCAAGATTCTGGCATGGCCTGGCCAGTCTCCAGAACTAAACTCAATAGAGAATCATTGGAGGGAGCTCAAACTTTGTTTCTTCTCAGCGACAGCCCAGAAATCTGACTGATCTAGTTTGGAGGAGTGGGCCAAAATCCCTCCTGCAGTGTGTGCAAACCTGGTGAAAAACTACAAGAAACATTTGACCTCTTTAATTGCAAGCAAAGGCTATACCAAATAAAAAAAACAACAAAATAAAATAACTCATAGATTGTGATTTCTGGATTTCTTTTTTTTAGATTATGTCTCCCACATTGGACATGCACCTACGATTACAATTTCAGACCCCTCAATGATTTCTAAGTGGCAGAACTCGATTAAAACAGGGTGTTCAAATATTTATTTCCCTGAGATTAACCAAACTGATCTTCCTACTGTAGCAGCCAAAATAAAGCTATTTTGATATAAAACTGAACAATATTACTGTATACTTGTTGTCAAGCATGATAGTGATAAATTCATACAAACAGTCTGTTTTTTTTTCATCAATACTTGTTATATTGCAATGTATGATGTGTATAAAACAGAATGCTTGTAAATTTCTGGACTTTACATCCAATAATATTTGGGAAAATTTGTAGACTATGCTATGAAACCATTTTCCTAAACAAGAAACCAACAACATAAAAATAGTTCAACCTTTACTGGTAGGACATTAACATGATTACTTCATGAAAGCAATACAATGATCTCAGTGAGATGTTCTGTTGTGTCATTCTGACATAGCTTCCTCTTACCCATGACATAAATGAACTACAGCGATTCTTGGATAAGGCACTGTTATATTTTGAGTGTCACCCACACAATTGACTTTAATTCTAAAAATAACCAAGGAAAGAAATACTTTTTATTCTGTAGCATTACCTCCTACAGTATATTTAATGTATGTATATATATTAAAAAATAACTCATCCTCACCCACTACGGGTGGTCTTTCCTACTTTTTCCTCCAAGCTCGGCTCCTCTACCAGAGGAGAGGAGGGGCTTGAGGGTACTGCCCAGTATCTTTGCTGTTTCTAGAACTGCACTTTTGTGGACTGAGATGTCTGATGTATTTCCAGGGATGTTCTGTAACCACTCTTCAAGTTTAGGGTACCCTGCCCCGAGGGCCCAAATGACCACGGTTACCTCTGATGCCTTGACCTTCCAGGTTTTCTCCAGCTCCTCTCTGACCCCTTGTATTTCTCTACTTTTTAATGTTTATTTTTCCTGATGTTGCAGTCACGTGCTATTACTACGTCAACCACAACAGCTTTCCTCTGCTTTTTGTCCACCACCGCAATGTCCGGTTGGTTTGCCATTACCATTTGTATCTGGAGGTCCCACAGGATCTTGGCTTGATCATTCTCTAACCACCCTTGGAGGTGTTTCCCACTTTGACCTTGGGGTTTCCAGCCCATACTCTGCACAGATGTTCCTGTACAGTACACTACTCCAGCCACTTGGTTATGGCGCACCATGTAAGCTTTCCCTGCCAGCATCTTACACCCTGCACTTTGCACAGTCTGCCCCTGGGGTCACGTCCGGTGTGGTAGACCTAGGCCTGTATTGCTCTGCTGCATAGGGCCTGTTCCTGTGCAGCCATGATGTGTGCCTCTGTGCTGTCCTTCAGTTCCTACATACATATATATATATATATATATATATATATATATATATATATATATATATATATATATATTCTTTATATGCAACATTTATTTTATTCTATTTTTTTAAAGATAGTTTATTATGTTGAAAACAAACAGATGTCACCCAGAGAAATAATAATAAGATGCAGCTGGGGTTTAATTTGACCCAAATGATAGGAGCCAGTCTTCAGCGTTTCCTCTCAAGGCAGACTCGCAGCATCACGTCACTCATCACAAAAACAATACATATTGGGACCACGTGCGCAGTCGGAAAATCTGGTTTCACGTCAGTGTCCATATGAGGAGTGTCGGACAGACTATATTTGGCGTTCCGCTAGTGACGCAGCAACCTCTGCGGAAAACGGGGCGGAGCCAACTGGACCCCGCCCGGCGGCTCGCGGCTGATATCAATGAACGGCTGAAACTATGAAAAGTAGACCTAGGAGGCTCAGGGGAAGAGCAACAGCTCTTTACTACTACTTATACTTAGTTTTGTTTTATACCTTTAAGGTTAGGGGTTTTTAAAACTTTTTTTATTTGTTAAAGAGCCCTACTTTAATTGCCCACCGTTATATTTTAAGGTTAGTTTGTTTTAGTTTGACTTTTTAAACTTTTTTTTTCATCATGACTTCAAGCAGTGTGACACTAGAAATAACTGACAATGAGTTGGTCCACATCCTGAGGACCCCCCGGGATCAGTACACCTCCAGTGGGTGCGTGATCCTGGACTGCAGACCTTTCCTCGACTTCTCCGCCACGCATATCTGTGAGTCCCGAAACGTCAACTGGAACTCGATGCTGCGCCGCAGGTCCAAGAGCTCGGTGGTGGCCCTGGAGTGGCTCATCCCGGATAAGACGCTCCTGGCTCGGCTGCGGCGGGGGGAGTTCTCCCCGGTGGTGGTTGTGGATGACAGAAGCGGCTCGTTGGCCGGGCTGAAGACAGAGAGCGTGGCCCAAATGCTGCTCACCGCCCTGCAGAACGAGGTCCAGACGCAAATCTGCTTCCTGCAAGGTGAAAACATTTTTCAACTTTAAAAAAAAAACACAGGTGTTAAAATGTATTTGAGGCTTTTGAAAGGCCTTTTTTTTTTTTAGATCATCAGCAAATTAAATTAAAATCAACTTAAAGAACTTTTATTAAATGTTTTTTGCATCCACAATATAAGCTGATTATTATTGGTAAATGTGGCAGCTATGCTAAAATACTATGTAACTTCCTTTCAGGTGGATTTGAGGGATTTTCAGAGGCCTTTCCAGAGCTGTGTTATGAATCTGGGATCA